AATAAATAAATAAATAAATAAATAAATAAAATTATTGGGCAAACAAAAATACATATTGCCAAATAAATTTTATTTTCTTTGGCTTTGCCTGTTCAGCTTCTGATCTCATGGATGGGCAGAAATGTGCTAAACGTGCATAAAAGCAATGGAAAACGCTATTTACGTATGCAACTGTGGTTCTGTGAATTCCGGATGACCACCAGAGGCGGTGCTAAGCACTAGTGGATAATCGCAACATCAGCTAGATAGGTCAAGAAAAATGTGTCCACAAGGTCACATCATGACACAGACCTAGCCACAAGGATATAAACCGCAGTAGCTCGGTGGCCAGCCTCGGAACACTTCTCGTGCATTCCGAGTGACAAAGTTACATTTGTTTAACATTTACATCATGTTGACAACTTCGTGTGTGGTGCACTTGGAATAGAATTTTGTTTAAATAGAGGGGTAATAAAGTAAAAGTTACTTGAATCATGTTCATGACCCAGTGGCCAAACCCAAAGCTGAAGACGAGCTGGGTCTCGTCCTATTCTGACCCAATGGACTGGACGTTTCTATCCTCACAAACCAGCGGCAATGAGTGGTCAACTCAACAGGACGACCTCTGCCAATTCAGCTGTACTACCTCCGGGTGAAGCCTCCATTCCCCAGGGGACAGCAGATCCCTGGATAACGCATTCGCTACTTGATTGTCCGATCCTGTGAGATTAACTGCCTTTAATGAGACTAGCCAATACTGAGACCATTTGAGATATTTTGCGAGTTAGCTGAAAGGATGCAAGAGACCTGGTCCCGCCCTGGTGATTCAAGTGAAACACTGTCGATGTGTTGTCGGACCTGACCAGCACATGGCGACCTATTAAATGTGGCAAGAAGTGTTATAGTGCTAGGTACACTTCTTTCAATTCCAGGACACTGATGTGCTCCATGGTTTCCTTTGGTGACGAACAACCGCTGATCCCCCTCTGGATCCACGGTCTCTTCCATCCTGTTGATGAAGCTTTTGTTGTGATCACTTCCCAACAAGAACACACAACTCCTAGTTGCACTCCGGCCCTAAGAAATGTTAACATTTCCAGGGTTTCAAAGTCCGGACACAAGCTGAAGAAACCACATCCATATGATGACGATGTCTCAGAGTCTAGTCTGTTGCTCCACCTTTGGAAGCACATCCAGTGGGATCACGGATGTAGCAGCAACTAGTTGTTGAAGGATGCCATAAGGAATTTTTGACTCCAGTCGAAAACGGGTTAGTAAGTAACAAACGGAGTCTGTTCGAGCATGTGACAGTGTGGAAGACATTGTGAGAGAGTTGAGTGTCATGCCAATGAACATTATGGACTGTACTGGAACCAAATGACTCTTCGTGTCATTCACAGTAAGACCCAGTGTCTGAATATGTCCCAGCAAAATCCTGGTGTTGTGTAGAGCATGTTGCCTTGTTGGGTCACAAAGCAACCAATCGCCTAAATAGAGAAGGATCCTCATGCCTTTGGTCCAGAGGAGAGAGGGCTGCACTCATGCATCTTGTAAATACGCGAGGGGCCAGAGAGAGACCGAATGGCAGAACTCTGAACTAGTATGCTTGGTCCTGAAAGCTGAATCTTAGGAACTTCCTGTGGTGGGGAGCAATGGGGACATGAAAGTATGAGTTCACACTCACAAACCAGTCTCCTTCCATTACAGACCGAAGAATATTGACTGTGTGTAACATACGAAAAGGAAGAGACTTTAGGAACACATTTAAGCAATGCAGATCCAGAACTGGCCAAAAACCTCCATCCTTCTTCGGAATGAGGAAGGATGTGGAGTAAAACCCATCCCTCTGACTGAGGGGAGGAAGATTTTCTATAACTTCTTCCTGCAACAGCGAACAAATTTCTAGTGACAGGGCCATAGAACTGGTCGGATCCTTGACAACTGTTAGAAGGATTCCTGTAAACTTTGGACGCCGGTGTCGGAACTGCAAAGTGTATCGCCTGCTCACAGTTGCCAGAACCCAGGGGTCGCACACTGACATTCTCCAGTAATCTAGATGTTGTACTGAGAAACGACCGACTGCTGGCCTGAGAATTTCATGGTTTCAGTTTCTGCCTTTAGTAACTGTGGGGGGCTGTGGTCCCCTCTGATGGTGGTGGTGAAAACTGCGAGGTCCCTGGGCCTCTTCAGCCACTCTTTGTCATGGTGGGTTCTGAGGTTGAGAAGTATTGTGGAGGCGCAGTCGCTACTCTGCAATTAAGTAGCATGGATGAGCGGGAACCGTTGGCATCCTAAAAGAGGAGCCCGTGGGGCCCGAGTCAGCTTTGTGTGGCTTCGGGTAACTTCATTCTCTTCTCTAAAACCTCAGAGACACTGGGGCCAAAAAGATGTCCCAGCACAATTGGCAGTTCCCTCAGTGTCTTCTTCAGCCAATCTTGCCTGAGCAAGCCATACCTGGCGCCGAGCTGTTAGAAGTGTTGTTGAGAGTGTTCCCAGCTCACGAGTCACATGCCCCATAGCCAATAGAGCAGTCTGGAACTGAAGTACTTTAGTGTCTGCATTTGATGACTCTAAGGTGGTGTTGCTGGCAAGTAGCAGCTGGCAGATAGCATTTTCTGCTCGAGTTATATAGGCTACTGACTCCTATGCCTTCTTCAACAATGCATCAGTACGTCCACATTGTGCACTTTGGCAGCATACACTGCCTCTTATGGCGCTTTTCCACTGCATGGTACAGCACAGTACGGTTCACTTTTGGGGGGTTTTCCACTGGGTACAGTACCTGGTACTTTTTTTTAGTGCCACCTCTGTTGAGGTTCCAAGTGAACCGTACCGTTACCAAAACGTGACGTGTAAACTCTGCTGATCACGGATTGGCCGGAGAGAATCGTCACTACCTGCGTCACTGAACTTGCGACACAAACACAACAGAACCGCTAGATTTAAATCAGCACAGCCAGCGTAGAATCGAACACAATTGTTTTGAATGAGCGCACCTTTTTTAACAACCAAAAAATGGCTGTTTTGTGGTTTGTTGAGGAAGTACAGACGTTCCTCTCGTTGATAGCAGAGGAGCGGATCCAGCGAGAGCTTGATGGGGCGACGCGGAATGAAAACGTTTTTCAGGAATTGCGGCAGTAGAGGCGGCGCAACTTTAAAGACATGTGAATAATCCCGCCCACTCTAAAGTGGTACTACACTGCAGTGGAAACGCAAACCGAGCCGAGCCGTACTGAGCCGTGCCGAGTCGTACCACGCAGTGGAAAAGCGCCATTAGTGCTTCATCAGGTGATACAACCAATGCTGCTACTGGCTGTTTGATCTCAGGTGCCCGCCCCACCCCAATGGAATCAGCCTCCGCCATTGACGCTAGAGTACAGGCTGTCTTTGAACTTTTTGATCTTTCCGAAGTAGTCATCTTTGTTGGCGGAGCGCCAGCAGCCGCTGATGCGCTGCGTTTTTGAACACGCCGCAGGGCTGAGTCATATTGTGCAAGGTTAGCAGTCGAATTAGGATCCAGTTCGGTGAGGCGAAGCGGTCTCTCGGACATTGGAAGTATACTACAATGCGAACATGGATCAGTCAGAGCCTCTTTTAGATGCTGAACCCCTAAGCACGAAGGGCAGCGATCGTTTCCATCATTGGGAAGAAGTGCGTTCAGACAATTTGCAACTCTGTGGAAAGTCGGAGACAAGCGAACCGTGAGCCATGAATCCATCCTCGGTTAGCACCGTAGGAACTCAAACTGTAATAATACCAGCCCGGGAGATTGAAGGAAAAAATCCTTGGATGGAACCAGAAGATTGTAATCTTGAAAACAGACTCAGAATCACATGTAAATTAACCAAACCTGCCTTTGGATAGCACTGTGTGGCATGATGAAGAAAAAGAAACCTGATATTTATCTGTCCTGATGGCAGTGCAGAGTGGTTTGCGTCATGACGTGACCTTGTTGACATTTTTCTCGACCGATCTACCTAACGCTGCGATTATCCACTAGTGCTTAGCACTGCCTCTGGCGGTCAGGACGAATGAAACAGAACTGCAATGGACCCTTTTCACAAGACTGTGATGACACGTCTCATTAGTCATCAGCATCATGAATCCTCCAAAGTTTTTTGCATTTAAATTTTTTTTTAAATGTACATTTATAACACTATACTTTGTATTATATTTCCTTTGCATCAAATCACAAAAAAACAATTTAACGCTAATGCGATATTTCTAACACAGCATCTATGGGAGTGAATGTAAATTTGGCATTGTTCTCTCTACTGACTATCAGTCTCTCTATTTTTTTCCCATTTTTTGAAAGTCATGAAAACACTATCATGGATTTTTTCTTTTGCTATTTGAGCAAATGGGAATGCAAAATTTATATTTGTGGTAGGCTCCAATTCACTGCTATAGACGTTTACCCAACTATGATGACTTCTGCTGCTGAGAAACCCAGAAATGTTAAAAGGTCCATTGTAAGATCTGTCTTGTGTGTTCCTTAAAGGGTAAAGGTTTACCTTCAGTTGTTCTTTGTCAGTATGTGCAACTATAATCATTTCTGCAAGTTCATCCTCTACTTGATCGGGCAGCTCTGACTCTGAACAGAGGTCCTCTTCTGGGTCTCTGGCAGAGGCATCAGTTTCATCGTCCTCTCTGCTGCACTGAAGGACCTCTGGAGCACTGCTCTCTGTGCCATCAGGTCTGAGTGATGCCTAAACGTTCAGACAAACATGCATATTTTCTACAGTTACCATGACTACATTGCCCCTAGCCATGTTATGCTAACTGACCTATTTTCAGATGGGGTGGGAACACAGATATACATGCTATAGATTTGAAATTTGCTGTAGTGGTGAGCACATGCTATTTGCATGTGACTTCGTAGGCTTAATGTCTAAATGGCATGTAAAGAAGCAGCAGCCAAGCCCTCAAAGTCAATGAAGTGAAAGCATAAACTGACCCATTTCTAACAGAAGTCATATCATACATACAGGGGTTGGACAATGAAACTGAAACACCTGGTTTGAGACCACAATAATTTATTAGTATGGTGTAGGGCTGGGGCTTCTCCACACCGTAACTCTCTCAGATGTGGGAAAGACAGTGAAGGTTGACTCATCAGAGAACAATACATGTTTCACATTGTCCACAGCCCAAGATTTCTGCTGCTGGCACCATTGAAACCGACGTTTGGCATTGGCACGAGTGACCAAAGGTTTGGCTATAGCAGCCCGGCCATGTATATTGACCCTGTGGAGCTCCCGACGAACAGTTTTGGTGGAAACAGGAGAGTTGAGATGCACATTTAATTCTGCAGTGAGTTGGGCATCTGTGGTTTTATGTTTTTTGGATACAATCCAGGTTAGTACCCGGACATCCCTTTCAGACAGCTTACTCTTGCGTCGACAGTTACTCCTGTTGGATGTGGTTCATCCTTCATGCTAGTAAAATGTGTGCCATATTTCAGTTTATAATGACCATTTTCTACATCTCTAAAACCCTTATAAATAAACAGTTTTTTAAAGATCAGGAACCTTGATAAAAACTAAACTCAGCTAGAAGAATACGCACTTTAGAAAATTTAGTTTTTCTGGCATTTAAGAAAAATAGAGATGCAATAAGGAGAAAGCAGAATAGATGCTGTGACTGTTGCATCTGACTGGTGCCACAATGCTACAGAAGTTTTTTGCAGCTTAGTTTTAATAAACTTCACTAGGTAGCAGCAAGTTTTTAGTTCTGAAGTATTTTTTTTTCATAAATCAAATTTCTTTATCTCAAATTAAAATTGGATTCTTCATGATATGACTTTAAAATAGAAGTCAAGTATGCAGAATTCAGAAACCCTTACTAGTGGTGGCCATTAAGTGAACTGCAACCAGCAACTCATTTGCTCATGCTCGGACTTGTGCACACATAACTTACAAGAGACTAAATGTGATTCAGTGGCCTGATATATTCACCGTGAAGTTCTCTTTCAAAGTAAAAAGAAGTTGGAAATTACTTTATCAATATATTGTTAATGAAAAATGACAGCGGTGACAAAACTGTGGTTAAGAAAGTATCTGATCATATCGATGACGATATGTTTACACAAACTTTGCAATTCACCAGCATCATGTCGACAGATGAGGTAATTGAAATTACACCGTTATGATAGTTTTATCATAAAGTATACTTAAGACTACAGACTATTTAGATGTGGCTATGTGAGACTATAGTCTGAATTAATCCCTTTTCTTTGCATGGCACATTGACATTACAGTGTGGAAAACCTTTTTTGGTATTAATCTGAACATTGTATAAATATTCGATTAATGTGTCAGAACGGAAGAGAGGTTCTCAGACATGCATGTACATGTAACGTTTTGATTTTTCCCGGCAAAAACATCACGAGTCCTTCATTTAAAAATCAATCTACAGGCTTTCATAGACAACCTAGGAAGTCGGAGAAGGTCTTGTTTAAGTTTTGTTACAAGTTGTTCACACATTGGCAAAAAAAAAAAAAAGGAGATTAAGACATGAAAATTCTTTAAAAAATTAAAAGCAAACCTCCGAGTATTCCTTGTTGATCTCTCCATGACAATCGTCTGTCTCTGGTTCCTCTAGGTGGCAATCTTGCGCTGACCAATCATTCGTCTGGACAGTTTGGCCCTTCCTCTTCGGCGTCTTTTTCTGCGAGCTCGAACTTTCGCTTTTTGCCCGGCGCTGTCTAAAGTGAGCAAGCTGCGCCAGAGGTTGAGAGACAGGTAGAGGGAAACATACATCAGGATGAGATAGCAAGAACATAGAATCAGCATTGTGCTGGGCTTTAAACACGAGCCATGTCAAAAGTCAAATGGATGCATGATTGACATCTCACAATTAATCCAAACAAAAGAAGACAAATTCATCATCTTTAGTCCATAATGTGAAAGACAACAGCAAGAAAAACAGGTTTAAAAAGCTGACATCCAAAACAATGGGTTCTTCATGTACTAAAAAAATCATCATCCTCTTCTTTTTTGGACAATCCCTGATCGCAAGAGCAGGGATATTCCACTGGATTACATTTGACCTGCTTTCATAAACATGTATGGAATCAGTTTGTGTTCCGCCCACTGACTGTCAAATCACATAAGATGTTGATATGAAGAGAGCCTGGGGGACCATGAGCCACAAATGGCATCTAGAACAGCAGCTTACATGCAATATTCGGGCCACTCTATGCAGCATCCACTGGTAACTAAAATGGTGTGCATATCAGAATTAAATATAAATATGATCTAATATAAATATAATATTAAATTGGCAACTGAAGTTAGCAAAGCTGTGTTATGGGCAGATAGTTGATTGCTGACCAGTTAACAAAAGCCATGGCAACCAGCTAGCCACTCTAGAACTGGTTCATCTTTGAGCTAAATTAATCCACCAGCTCACAACAATCCAGAAACATCCCATAAACTAATGTTAAATGCTTGAATATTAATGCATTTCATGTGGCTGAAGTTACAAGATGAAATTCAGAGTTTGACAGTATGGATCCAGTGCAAGTGCAAGATGTAGATAGATGAGGATTTGTTGAAATTGCAAGAGACAGTTTGGTTCAAATCAGAGTTGAATATTATAGACAAACAAGTAAGTGTTTCATTCCATTTTAATAAACGTTTAAATTAAAAATGTAAGTGTGACAATTAAACAAAAAAGCTGCCACAAAATAAGATATGAATTTTGTCAATACTCAAACACATGCTACAAATTAGTAATGACTGCTTTCCATGGAACACAAAAGATGACGGAGAACTTTTTCCAACTTAAAAAATTTTTTTTTTTTTACTTTTGTGTGCCCTGCATAAAATAAACACAACATGGGCATGAAACAACATTGGTGTGAGCAAATGACTACACAATTCATTTAATGACAACTGAAATGCATCCTTGCAATGTTGAGACTTTAATCGTGTGGTGCCTCCTACAGGTCTCTCTATACATAACAGTCAGTATTCTTCTGTGGACTGAATATTATCATCCAACAATGAGAAAGTATTTAGTTAATGAATGTAGCCAATATCGTGTTGTTTACATCATTTGAAGCGTTTGTCCTTCAAAACGAGGCAAAGAAACGCCTAACAAAACGAGAAGATGCCACTTCATTTTTGTTGTCCTCTCATTGCGGATAAAGTGCAGTTCCCGTCAAAGCTCTCTTGCGCTAAATATATACTGTAGATACCTGTGAGCTGCACTGATCCTGCCTGGAGACAGAGCTGTATCAGATTCCTCTCAGCAAATCGAACTTTATTTGCAACATAAGACAGCCTAACATAAGCAAAAAAGAAAGCTTTTGCTGCAACGCCAACAAACATTTACCCCAAATTGAAACTCAAACTAAACAAATACCCAAAGCTACATATTACCAAAAACAACAAAAAAAAAAGCGCAAAACTTCCAGCTGAGGAAGGTTGTTGCTCTGATTTCGTGAACCAGTGCAAATAAACGACACACTCAGAAGAAAGTTGGAGTTCAAGCTTCATTTTGTCCATAATGAATATGGCATGATATTAATCAAAAACTCCTCACAGTGAATTATGAGAAAGTTGGGCAGAGATACACTGATAAATTGAGTCGGGCTGAGTAGTTCCTCATACTAACAAGTTTTATAATAAGACATTGTGCACCAAGAACAATGGGAGTGACTGTGACATCTGTGGCTGTCCGAAATACAAGCGGATCTCAAATAAAAGCAAGAAAAAACATATAAATAAATGTGGCAGTTGATATAATTACAGACAAAAAGAACAACAAAAGAATATTCAAATTCACAACTAGCCTATGTAAAGTTACTCTGCTAATGTTAGCGCTTACCTTTGCTCGTCCGGCCTCTAATTTTCTCTGCCTTTCATCCTGATCCATTTCCTGGATCAAGGAATTTCATGGGAATGAAGGAAACACTCAAGGGGACGTCAATCAGACTGAAACTGCGTTTCTCTAAAACTCCTTAAACTAATTTTTTTGTAATGTTTTGTGAGTTCAGAGATTTTCCTAAAGAGTAACTGTCAGTGTAATTTTCAACATGGCCGCGAAGTGTGCTTATCCCCGCCCTTATCAGATTGACAGTCAGCGAGAACCTATTAGAACAAAGGATGTGAACTTGTCAGCCAATGACATTTTTTGTTGCAGAAATACACCTGCTCTTTTTAAAACGCCCTCCTTTAAATGCATTGGGCCTGAATGACCAATTAGAAAGCGAGTGCAAGCATGACCCTTTGATTGACAACGTCTAGAGCCTATTGCTGTGCAGGATAGTGAGAAATGACATCCTCGTAGGCTGTGTATTTGTTGTGGTAGTCGTGTTTCCAATAGTGGATGTGATTGACAAATGAGAGACGCGGGTAAAAGCCCGGGTGAATAAGATTAACCAGTAACGACAGCTGAATCGACGTAACAAAAGTTGTTTTCTTCACTAATAATATAAGGCACAGTCTCATAAATTGTAAATGTTACGCCAGTTTAATATAACACACTTTGAGAATATAATATTATAAGTACTGAATAATAAACAAAGATGATAAATATAATCATTACCTTTTATTTGGAGTATAAAGGTATAAAAATATATAACAATATTTAGACATTTCAATTCTACATAAAAAGTAATTATTATAATTATTATTTTATTATTATTCCATATTTATAAATGCTCAAATTACACATAATTGATTTTGTAAATAATAATAATAAAGTTTCCATAACCTTTCTATGATTACATTTTGAGGTTTTCCTAAAATACAAATTCAAAATATTTCGTTGGAAGCTGCAATATGTTCTTCCATTTATTTATTTATTTTATTTTAGAGTACTTTACTATGGGTCCACCGTAAACAAAAGAGCCTTGGTCTGTATTTCTAATGTAACTTAGCAACTTGAGTGTTGGGCAAAGAACTCTGCAACACAGATATATTCTGACAACAGACACCCTTCTACAGCAAACATGGACAATAATTAAATAAACGTATCTACGAAGTGTTTTTAAAATGGCAGACCCAGTGGTTGACCAAATGACAAGGCTGAGATTGAAAATGTTGGAAAAGGTAAATTGGCTTAATGATAAATATTTATCAGTTATACATAACTGACATGATATTCTTTCTTCCTTGTTGACAACATTCTATCATGAGACCAAACTTAATTCAAAATACTTAATATATCATCTGTTTGCTCCTTTTTAGAGACTGGACAATGAGAAAAATGACAACATTGAACGAGAAGGGTCAGCGTTTTGCACAAGTACACAGACAGTAGTGATTTTTTTGTATGATCTGGGAAGGCCACACACATGGGCTGGATCTCAATATCATTATCAACCTCTTCTCGGGCCACTCCAGCCTGTTCCTCCTATCCATATCCACCAAAGTGCTGCACCTGCACCTCCACCTGCTCCTCTCCCTCCTCCTGCCCCTCAGCCCCCTCAAATCATTCAACACACTGTATGAAAAGTTCACACCTTTAGTTATACTGGTTTGATCATACACAGAACATCTACATTTACTATTCCAGTTCAATTAATGGCTTTATAACTGTTCTAAAATATACAAGTACATAGACAATTTGTGTGTGCATTGTGTGTTACAATGATATGTTGCTGGCCCTCTTCTGATAACTTATATTTCTCCTTCCACAAGGTTCCTCAACAACCAGCCACCATTATCCAGCAGCAGTTACCACAGCAACAGCCTCTCATAGCACAAATTCCACCCCCACAAACCTTTCCCTACAGATCAGGAAGTATTAAAGAAGGTATATATACTGTATATCAAATACAGAAATAAAAAAAACTGTTATTGTACTGTATACTAAGCCAAAAAAAAAAAAAAGCAATTAGTAATAGTGATATTAGGACATTTAAACTTGCCTACACTTACTTTCCAACAAAAGAGTAATTACAAGGCCATAAGATTTTTTTTTTTTTTTAATACACTACTGTTCAAAGTTTTGGGGTCAGAAAGATTTAGTTTTTTTCGTTTACCAAGGACAAATTATTTAACAAATGATTTTAATAAAAAAATATTTTATATATTTTTTATTGATAATAAAGTTATTATTTTTATTTATGATTCAAATATATTCCTATTTTACATAATTTTTATATAAAATTATATTTTGGAATATTACTGTTTTGACTGCATTTTTAGAATAAATTATATCATTTTTAATAAATGTAGCCTAAGTGAACATAAAAATCTTTTTTTTTAAACTTTAAAAATTTTACTAACCCCAAACTTTTAAACAGTAGTGTAGCTAGTGATTCAAGTTGCATGCCTGAAATATAGCCAATAAGAATAAAGTACTACATGGAGTTTTAACGACACTTCAAGATTTCAGCTAGGACAAACGTTCTCTACTTTATTATTCTGATGACAGACATGGTGGAGTTGATGCTCATGCAGAATGCACAGATGCACCAGATCATCATGCACAATATGATGCTGAAGGCTCTTCCGCCAATGGCTGTGTACCCAGGAGGAAGCATCAGTCAAATCACACCTCTATAGCCTCACATTCAGGGAGGTAACCATCAAGAGATGTTGTGTTCAGCTTAAACCAAGTTGATATTTGTACATTTTACAATATGTAGTAATAAGTTAGAATGCTCATTTGATGTTGTTTAGGACCTTCATTCAACAGTGAGAGGAGGGGCTGTCCATCATCACCATCACTACAGCTCCCATGTACCACCTCTTCCTCCAACTGGCTACTCTTTTTGGCCCTCTTTGATGCCAGCAGGACAATTAGGGACTCATCAGCCAACAGTGCAGCATGTGATTGGTCCTGTAAATCTCCCCCCCTTAAACACGTATGAGTCATCAATGTAACAATACCAATAAATAATAATAAAAAAATAAATTAAAAAAAACTTTAAAATCATTGTTTTATTTTAATTATACATTTAAAAATGGATCAGAAATCCTTTCCAGTTGATTAGGTAAGTCTTGTCTCTAGTTTACAACAGGACCTCAACTGAACTTTATCATTTATGAAACCTAGTGCTGTTTACATGTGTTGTTCATACATACATGAGATTTTACAGTGAGGTCTTACACATTCTGTACAGTACTAATGTTTTTGTCATAAAAATAAAAAAATCACTACATAATTCTCTTAATCCATCATTAGTTATGGGTATCTTGTGCTACGTTTCAATGTTTAAAACATTCACTGGTCAGTCATTGTGAATCATATAATCATAATATTCTCATGTTAACTTGTTTTGCCTTGAAGAATGGGAATTGATGCTGTGAACTCCAGGACTCCACTTGGACTCTGAGGTAAACATAGGGTAATTTTATTATCTTGTTCACTAATATTATATATTTTTCTAAGATATTAGAAGTCAGTGCTCCTAATAGGCCTACCTTTTTTTTCTTTTACCTTTTTCTAGACAAATTGCCAAGGGCAGACGGATCCCTCTTTATCTTCAAAGACAGATGATACATCGACATGGAGGTCCGACATCAATTTACAATTTTCAATACAGTTATATCATTTTGTTATTCATAGGGATTTGTTGTGATTTTTAATTTTGTTGTATTTACTGAAGAATTAATTAAATATTACAATATTAAATAGCAAAATAAGTGCTCGGTTTAATTAATATAAATGTTTTTTTTTTTTTAAGTCACCTGGTATGCAGGTGTAGTCGTGGCTGTTTTGCCATACAACAGACCCTTTTAAAATGTACAGTTCATGTCTTTGCAGTGTAGTCATAAGGTTATTTTCATACTTTAAATAGGCAGTGCATTGTGTAACGCTGTCATGTGCAACATAAACCTTAGCTGAAGCTAAAACTGAGGGAATGCCATGGACATAGACACATAAACGGACATAGAACATTCATCAAGTAAAACAAGCACACCCACTCGATATTTCTTCCGCTTTGAGACACGTGATGGTTAGTTGCTCATCTGATTGGTTGCATGATGAGTAAATCTAATCGCTTTACTCACATAGCCTACCAAAAATTCAAAATCAGCATACACGTAATATACGGATACAAATGTAAGTAATTAAACTGTGTGCAGTTTGTAATAAAACATTATTTCGTCTGTTCCATTTTATAAACTATTTCTTTCACTGAACCCAGATCATTACCAAGTACTTTCTGTTTGCTGCTCTGCACTGCAGCGCCTTAACTGGCGGTGTGAAGGAACGTCAATCTCAGACAGACACTCTTGGGTAATTGGGCAGCAGTGGAGAGTGGGAGGGCCTAACCGACGAGCAGTGGTGCGGTGTCGCAGTTGACAAATCAGTGAAACGTACGTCCACGAAAGGCTTTTGAAACACGAGTGGGTCAAATTTTCGGTTTCAAAACCTGCAATATAGACCTGGCACTAACAAACCAAGCGGAGTCTTATTCATCGTGGTGGTTTGTGATGTATGAATGGATAGTTGACGGATTATCGTCGCTCTTCGTGCCTTTTTCTGGTGAGAAATCCGCAGCCTGGCCTAGTGAGCACTGTAACGGTGTCGCTCGAGCCGCGGGCACAGACACGCAGCGGCTGGAGAACAGCAGGCCCGCCAAACGCAACTATCAAAGGTGTGGTATTAGTCTGTTTGTATTCCTCGGTTCTGAATAAACCTAATTACTATTTGTTTCTGTTTTAATTAACACACAGTGCCTTGTTTTATCTGGTGTCAGTTTGTTTCTTGTTCATTTACACAAACAATAGGCAGTTGTAGTACATTACATTTGTCTTCAGGGGCAGGAATCAGTCCAATGTAAACAATTCGTCAATAGACAGTCTACTTACAGCAATCAGTCACCATCTTTGTCATTAAATTAATAGGATACTGTCGAACATAAATTTAATTTATGAAATGTTTGTTGTGATTTAGAATTATTACAGATCTGAAGTCGTTAAATTGGAGAGTATAGATAACGTCCTTTTCTGTTAGTGCCTGCACAATATTGCAAAGCTGTATAAATATGAATGTTCTTTAAGAAAGACGTGGTGTTTTCTGTTTACCTCAGAGTCTACTGGTTTAGCGATTTTCATTTTATTGCTTTTATTTGA